AACAAAGTTTTATAACTAAAAGTGAGACAAAAAGAAATGATTTCAGAATTCAGTGTTGGAAAAGCGATAGTCCATGTCCCTACACAAGCATCTTGTGGTTGGAGGAGCTATGGCCCAATGGTACAATCAGCACTCAAACAATTCCTGAAATTGGATAAGCTCTTCTGGGTCCCAGATCCTCTCAAATCTCATCTGAAAAGAAGATAATGCCATTTTCTTAAACAAATTAGTCTCCAATTCTATATATATATATATATATATATACATTAAAACGATTATCAAATCCCCACTCCCTTAATCAATTATCGTGTCAAGTTATATATACGACCACTTTGAATTAGAAAGAGTAAGAAAGCAACGACAAAACAAAAGCAACGACCACTTTGATTCAAAGTCTAAGAAAATGTCTACAAATAAATTACCTTCTTCAGCTCAATCCTTCCAAGAACAAGTCGCTGGCGGTTTTGTCTCTAGAAAGTTGCTTCTACACAACCTATTTGACCACAACACTCAACAAGCCTTCGTGGTCGCCCCATCACCCCTCATTACACATGAGAACAACCTCAGGGGGAATGTCTTGATGCTTCTCTCAGTCCTCATTTGTGGAATCATCTGCTGCCTCGGTTTACATTACATCATTCGCTGCGCATTCAGACGTACTTCAAGTTTCATGATCTCTGAGCCTATCTCCACTCTTTCAACACAACATGGGCCATCAAACAAAGGAATCAAAAAGAAAGCTCTTCAGATGTTCCCGGTCGTAAGTTACTCACCTGAGATGAACCTGCCGGGTCTCGGTGAAGAATGCGTCATCTGTTTGTCAGATTTTGTTTCGGGTGAGAAGCTCAGGCTGCTACCCAAGTGCAACCACGGGTTCCATGTTCGTTGCATTGACAAGTGGCTTCAACAACATTTGACTTGTCCAAGCTGCAGACACTGTCTTGTTGAGACATGCCAAAAGATGTTAGGTGAATCCAGTCAAGGTGATCAAGTGACAGCACCACCAACAGAGAGCATAATTGTCAGGATAGCTCCTCTAGAACCTGAAGGAAGAGTAAACACTTTAAGACAAAGCAGCTAAATGGTCAGAAACCATGATAAGTTCAGAATCTGTGCTCAGGTTAGATAGGAGTTTTTATAGACTGAGCACAGCTCATGTCTATTGCCATAGAAGAGTTCCAAAAGAAAAAGAAAAAAACAGAATAGTTCAAATTTTTACAAATTTTTGTGTTTTTTTTGCCTGTAACACAAAGTGTATACAGAGAAATGATATATTGAAGTGAAAAAAAAACAGCATTCAGTAATGCTAATTCAGGGTTTCACATTCCTAAGGCTTGTACAAACGCACGAAAGACGTGAACAAAGATGCATCTATCCACTTGACTCGACCCACTTAAAACACTACATAGATATGCCTCACAACCAATTCACACTCATGAATCACCAGGATAGCCAATACCACATGATTCTTCGTCCCAGTGATCAACTCTTCCGCAGGAAAGTAAAAAGGACCCACTCTATTTTTGTGTAGAGAGAGGAATTAAATAAAAAAATAATTAAATGAAGGAAAATTGATCTTTTTTTTTTACGAAAGAGTTACCAAAAAGAACACAATCTCACTTTTATCTACACTAAAAGACATTTTTTCTTGACAACTGTTTTTTTTGTGGACAGAAATAACTTTGTCTTTTGTGTAAGAAAAAATGTATTTCTTTTAAAACAAAAAATTAGATATATAGAAAAAGTGAATTATTTTAAACCTTTGGATCTATTTATATACATAAGATCTAATGGCTAAGAATATACTCATCATTATGTTTTTCTAATAAGTGATCACAACGATCTTGATTCCACATTCATGAACCAACCAAATCAAAACTTTACCGATCACAACTCTCCTAACCACAAATTTCAACATCACAACTCGCCTGACAAAGATTCCATGTCCACAATTCTCCTAGCCACAATTTTCTCCACAACAATTCTCAACGATCTTGAATCTACTTTTCATAACTAATCAATCAAAACTCTACCGCCCACAGCTCTCCTGACCACAAAGCTCAAGATCAGACCATAATTCTTCAATAGAGCTTTCAATCTAAGACCAAAAGGGAGAGACCATAATTCTTCAATAGAACTTTCAATCTAAGACCAAAAGGGAGATGCAACAGTGATTCCAACGATATAGAAGTTTGTCATGGCTATGAATTATGTTGAAAACTTGTTGACTTGGATTTATGAGGGACATAGACAACTATTGGTTCTAAATTGCAGAGAAGAAAAAGATAGGTTGTAGAGAAAACAACGGATTTGGAGTTTCGTCATAGGTGAACCGAGTTTCGTCATAGGTATACCGTCGGATCTGGTGTTGTAGAAGAGGACAACCTTAAGAAGAAGAAATTGTGAAATGAGGTTGAAACACGAGATGAAAAAATTGTCGTGACAAAAGTAATGGTCTGAAAAGAGAGAACAAGATATGGTTGAAAAGAATAATGAAAAGTGAAAAATTAGATGAAAAAGGAAAATAAATATTAGATTTAATGATTTTCAAGATATTTTACATATATATGAAGGGTAAATTAGATAAATCACTATTAAAATATGTTTCATAGATTTAATATATTATTTTGTGTAATTAGAAACACAAAATGTGTCGTCCAATGTAAATTTCTACATAATAAATAATTACCACAAGTCCTACATTGGACGAGACATGTTTTTCTTAATGTATATATAAGTTTAGTTTACAAGTACAACATGTGGAGCTTAGTAACGTGAGCTTGTAATCTGAGTAGAGACATCAAATGATGGCACTATTGTGCCGATGTGTTTGGCCAATTCAGGACTCTGATACATATTCAGAAACCATTGCAGAATTCACCTTTATGTGAAATTTTAGTCATAAATAAATCACATGTTTTACCTATATTTTAGTCATAAATTAAGCCTATTGAACTGGAATCTGATTCAAATTATACGTAGTCAGAAAACAACCCAATATGGAATACAGAGTCTTGTAAGGTATCCGACTTAAGTCTTGTAAGATCTGAATTGTCAGCCAAGTGATAAACCCATCCTATGGGAATAGCCTTGACACATGACTTACCTATGCCATAACTAAAGACTTGACCCGTAAATTCCATCACAGTAGGGATGAATCCATCCTCATACGTTACACACAAAATCAAAAAGATGAGTATAGGAAGCAAGTCATGTAAGAAATCTCTCAAATCCATCACATCAAAGTTTATATTCCAACTACACTCATCACAAGCATCCCCTACTCTACTCCGATGGTTGATACCAAAACCCTACAACTACACTCATCACAAGGATGGGTTTATTACTTGGCATCCCCTACTCTAACTCTGACGGTTGATACCTCAGAATTTAGTCATCCTGCCTTTTTACAAAGTTCGTGTTAGAATCTGGTGAATGTTCTGTCTAGATTTAGTATACTTTTCTCCATATCATAGGTATGTACACTAGCTAGTTGAAGGTGTTATCATGATATCTGAACCGATAAAAAGCGACGCCTAACCACTGAGATTTAACTCAACGCTATCTCGTTGTATGAAAACAGAAACGACTCTAGTCACATTACAAACCTGGTCTACTCTGTTTCTATATTAATGACAACAAAAACAATAGTGCAAATATAAAAGAATACATGGAGTGATCAACTTGATATCTTATACGTTTTCATAGATTCTCCAGATATCAAATTCATAATCCTGATAACTGAGTGATTCACAACCAGCTAAACCTGATGGAATCCGCAACCCATTGTCAAGAAAAATACAAATAACTGATATAGTTAAGGACCACATAATTTAAGTACGAGATTTTGGAGATCCTGCAGTTTTAAAGGGATCAAGCCCCAACAGCTCATAAACAAGGTTATCAAAACAAAAGCAAAGTCATAATAAACAAATGACGGTTCAAATAAGGCGTAAGATCCTAGGCATTTCTGATTGGATTGGATGTAAATAAAGTAATGAAAAGTTCAATAATTATCACTAAAGTGGGAGTTTAATAGTAATTGAGGCTGTGCACATAAAAGAAGGTTTATTGGTTAATCACTGAAGACTATGATTTACAGGTAGCATATGTCCATTACGAATCTGAGGGATATCAGATGATATCAAAACATATCTGGTAATATGCCATTAAGTGTGTAAAAACTGCAACAACATAGCTTACAGGTCCAAATAAAAAAAAATTGTAGCATCTTATATATAACTTCATTTAGGTAAAAAAATTCTAATCCAGTAGGAATCATTTGTGAATATAGCTTAAGTAATTCTTTCATATGCAACAGCTAATGGTACACAATTGTTTCAACTCGCTCTACAAGTGAGGCTGTCAAGAAAATTTCTTTCAGTTTCTAAAGAATATAATCACAATATGATAATGACAAAACATCAAAAGATATATAAGTTTTTGCTACCATCTAATTGACAAATAGTAAAGAAGTGCTAATTCATATTGCAACAAGTTCAATGTTCATTTCTTAGGGAAAAATAAAACTATAAATAATTAACAAGAACATGTAAAGACAAAAGCACTAGAGGAAAATGGTAGCTTTAGAAGATAATGTTTTAAATCAATCCTGATTCAAAGTGAGACAAAAATAAATTATTTCAATATCAATATTGGAGAAGTGCTAGTCCCTACACATGCTTCTTGTGGTCGTAGAGATATCTGGCAACGGCACAATCAGCAATAAGGATTCATGTAATTGGATAAGCTCTTTCTAGGTCCCAAATCCTTTCAAATCTCACTTTTAAAGAAGAAAATGCCACTTTCTTAAGCAAATCTTACTAGTCTACAATTATAAAGAATTATCAATCCCCACTAGTAATCATCTCAAGCATATATATATATATATATATGACTATTTTGTATTTCACAAAACATTAAGAGAAATAACCACTTTAAGCCAAGTAAAGCAGAGAAAATAGACTTTGATTCAAAGCTTGTTCAAAGAGAGTAAGAAAATGTCTGCAAATGATTTACCATCTTCGGCCCAAGCCTTCCATGAACAAGTCCTTGGTGGTTTTATCTCTAGAAAGCTGCTTCTGCACAACCCTATCGACCACAACACTCAACGAGCCCTTGCGGTCGCACCAACTACTCCAATAAGCCATGAGAACAACGCCAGTGGTGCTGTCTTGATGCTGCTCTCAGTCCTCATCTGTGGAATCATCTTTTGCCTCGGGTTACATTACATCATCTGTTTAGCCTTTAGACGCTATTCAAGCTTCATGATCTCTGAGCCTGTCTCCGTTCTTTCAACACAATGTGATTCATCAAACAAAGGAATCAAGAAGCAAGCTCTTAGGATGTTCCCAGTCGTGAGCTACTCACATGAGATGAACCTGCGGGGGATTGGTGAAGAGTGCGTCATCTGCTTGTCGGATTTTGTTTCTGGTGAAAAGCTCAGGCTCCTCCCTAAGTGCAACCACGGGTTCCATGTTCGTTGCATTGACAAGTGGCTTCAGCAGCACTTGACTTGCCCAAAATGCAGACACTCTCTTGTTGACACATGCCAGAAGATCTTAGGTGACTTCAATCAAGCTGATCAAGTGGAAGCAGCACCAACAGAGAGCGTACTTGTCAGGATAGCTCCTCTAGAACCTGAAGGAAGAGTAAACACTTTTAGAGAAAGCAACTAAGTGCTCAGAACCATCCATCATAAATTCAGAATTTAAGCTCAAGTTAGATAGGAGATTTTTGATCTTAGCACAATTCATGTCTATATGATTCCGAAAGGACGCACTGAGATGTCTTTCTTTGTTTTTCTGTAGCAAAAAATATATATTAGAGAGAATATATATCACTTTACAGTACCATCTCGCTGAATTCATCAAACATCTCTTTGCAGATTTATTTCTCTACAGTGGAATGTAAATGATGAAATCATATCAAAAACAATTAAATCCATCTATTACCAAAGACTGATATTTACTAGTCGCATATAATCATGTGCCACAATCATTAACCAGAACAAATGCTTTTTTTGTCGTAGAATGCCAAGGTATTGCGTGAAGTGTTTTAGTCTACGCAATGCAATTACGGTCCAGACATGATCGCGTGTATGCTTGATAGTGAAAAAATGCATAAATAAAAATATAAAATGCACTACCTATGTGCCACAAAACTAATCCACACACATGAGTCTCAGTGATCAGGATAGCGGATAAAACACACGATTCTTCGTCCTAGTGATAACTTTTAATTCTAGAAGTGTCTCAAATCGTTGTGCATTAATAAAAGTACAGTATATGGTAGGTTTTTACTTTTCTTTTTCTTGGATAAGTATTTATCTCTAAAGAAAAACAGAAAATCAAAATTTTTAAGATTGCTAATAAATATAGATCTAACAGATTGTAAGATTATTTATTCACATAATAAAATACAAACCATAAATGAATATTTGTCTCAATATGTTTTTGCCTCTTTATTTTCTTTATTTGATTTGTTTTTATTCACAACAATAACGAAACCAACTCTCCCATAGGAATATTGACCCAGCCTGGTATGGCTCTTTTTCTCCACATGAGGAGCACATCTTTGAGTATATACACTAGCTAGTGGAACTTTTTCTTTTTGAACGGCTAGCTAGTGCAACTTATTATCATTATAAATGACCCCAGCAAGGTTAAACCAGACGATTCAGATCTACTCAGAGTCTCAGAGCTGTATCATAATATGTTAACAGAAGAAAAAATATACAAACTTGGCTTACTTTGGTCTCTATTATACAACTAGATTAAAAAAAATTGTTCGAATATCATAGAGACCATATGGAGTGATCAACTTATAGCCACTTGAGAATTTGGCCGTTTTCACAGATTCTCCAAATATCAAACTCAATATCCGGATAACTAAGTGATTCAAAGTACAAGCTGGATTCCATAACTTGTTGTAATAAAAACTACTATAACTAGTTTAGTTAAGGGATTAAGAGAGCCTGCAGTTTAAAAGGAACAACATGTCATAAACAAGTAAGACATAAGATCCTAGGCATTCCTAATTGGATTGGATGTAAATAAAGTATTGAAAAGTCCTGGCTAAAAAGTGGGAGATTAAAAGTAATCGAAGCTGTGCACACAAAAAAGAATGGTTATTGGTTAATAACGAAGACTATGGATTACAGGTAGCATATGTCCATTACACATCTAAGTGATATCAAAATCAATCATATGCATATGTCCATTTCAGTGATCAGTTGAGAAATTAGCTTAAGTAAATACCCTTAGTTACTGCAAAAGCTAACTGTCTAAATTTCTTTAACTCTCTCAACAAATGAAGGTGTCTAGAAATGTTCCTTGTATAAACTAAGTGGAACAACCGCAAGAGACATCAATACAATTACAAATAACTATATCAAACATTAAAGATTATCATTTTCCGCTACTGCTGAAAAATATTAAAATATATACTAATTTCCACTACAGTTATTCTAATGTCTTCTGTTGGAGGGGGGATAATTATTTATGATTAACAGAGATTAAAGTACAGCAGAATGTAATTACAGAAGCACTAGAAGACACTGGTAGCTTAGGAAGATAATGTTTTAAAACACTATCATAATGCTTTAAGAAAATTATCACCACTTGTTGGACTAAAGACCTTAATCGACAAGATAGATTCATGTATAAAACTTTTTATAATATAATAATTCAAAACTATGCTTTAATATAAAGGAGAAAGGTTGGGGACATACCCTTATAAAGCAAAAGACCTGTACGCAATAGGCTGTGCCTATTCATCCTAGCACAAAATGAAGTTCTCTACATTATCAAGAAAACAAAAGATATTTAGTAGGAACGATGAGCAAATAGATATTTACTTAGAAAAGATATTTAGTAGGAAAGGTAAGCAGATAGATATTTACTTAGAAGAGATATTTAAACTGATAGATATTTCACTTAAAAGTTCACCAGAAAACGAACACTGAGAATTGGCATTAAAGAATAATGATTAAGACTAGGTTCCACCGATAATGGAATATCTATTATTAAAATAGTATGATTTTTTTTATCCACTATACAAAAGTTATAATACATCCATTTTATTAGTTACATATTCTGACAGAATAATCAATAATAAACTAGTTCAAACAATAAATTTAAATTTTATTTTAGTTATAACAAAATCTTTTAAGGGAGAATATAACAAAATCTTACTAAAATATTTTAATATTTTATTAAATAAAGCATCAAATAATTTTGTAATTAATAATCTGTTATTAAATTCATATTAGTTAAGTTTTATTATAAGAAGATAAAAATATATAATGTTCTATCTATTTTGTTATAGTCTCTAATATATTAAAATAGAAGTATTATATAAATTAAATATGACAAAATAATATTAAATTGATAAATTAACCTATTTATTTTTTAAATACTTTCATTTAATTATAATATCATCTACCATTAAAGGTTTAAAATTTGTTAACTATATAGTATTTTTATACACAAAAAAATTATTGACATATGTTAAAATTTTTATTCGACAACTATATATTTTCAAAAAATCATATTTTTTTTAAAAGGATTTTTTATTTGATTATTTCAGATTAGAAATTATTTTACAAAATTCAAAAATGTAATAAAAATTAATAAAAAGTAAAATATATAAAATAATTTACTATAAATTAAATGTAATAAGAAAGCTAAACAATAAAATTAAGGAGTTACACAAAATATAATCCTAAAATAAAAATATCATATCTGAAACATTTATGACAAAATCAAAGTTAAACATTTATAAATAAAAAATTTGTCCGCACGAATAAGCGGGTCAAAACTTTAGTAAACTGTTAAGAGATGTGACTAAACAAAACTTTCATTATAATGTTTCTGAAAATTTTCTCATGGTCCTCAAAAACCAATTGGATCCAATATGTTCCATATCATGAAAGCAAAACTCTTACTTAAGCACGATTTCAACATGATGTGTTATAACATTTTACTTCAGTTATTGGAAGAAATACTGTTAACGTATTGATTTAAGTTCTTAGTCTTGTATAGTTCTCTATACTACGGTTTTAGCTAAACAGATCTATTCGATATATGACTTAAGAAGTGATATGCGAATGAATAAGAGTATATACAATGTTTTGTTTCTTAACGATTAGGAAATATTGAAACTCTCAAGCTTTCTCTTTTGATCAGTGTGATACAATAAGAGTGTGATACCGTTACTGATATATTTTACTTTGTATGCGTAGCTATTAAAAACAATTTCACAAGATGATCACCGGAAAGGAATACGTCAGCGACTACGTGGAGGCGACATCCTTTCAACATTCGATTCCTTTGACGACGATGACTCGTAAAATGAACCAGAGAAAGCACTGTGATCTCTAGAGTGTGATCACTATTGGATCTCTCTATTCTTGATCTTTGTTTTCTCTTTCCAGCTTCTATATTCTCTTTTTTTTCTCTTTGTATCAGAATCTCTATCTATTCTCTCTAGAATACTCTGTTGAGGTGAAGAAGACGATCTAACTAAATCAGCTCAATGCGCTGAGCCTAGAAGTGAACTCGGCCTCATAGACCCAACTTCTATTTTTGTATAGTTTATTTGCTTAACCCGAAGCTCACAAGTCTTATCCCAGACCTAAAACGACACAGTCTTCACAGATATGCACCTTGTCGCATTAGGTCAATTCAAACCGAGAATACTTCCGCCGAAACACTCTTCAGATTCTCCAACCCCGAAACTATGTCGGAATCACCACAGCACAGTCTCATCGGCTTCACCAGTCACTGGGAATAAAATGACAAACATCTTCTGAAACCTCTCGAACCCTCGAGCAGCCCCGATCCTCAGAACTATCAAAGTTCTGAACTTCTGATCTATGAAGCAGAAACGGTGAGATCTCCAACTCTCACTCTTCCAGATGATTTCAAAATCCTAGTACAGACCTCTGAACCTTCACGAACTGATCCCGAAGAACAGACAACCATGACCCCTTCTGAACCAGCTGAAACTCCACCTCGAACTCAAACCAACCTTGAGTACTGTAAGTTCTTTACCTTCTTCGAAAATGACTCATTCAACAAAGATAAAATATCTTGACTCACTCGCTTCTTTACAGAAAACAAGCACCTGAACCTCTTCAAAGAAGATAGGCCTGGGCATTTTACCCGGACCCGAGAACCCGACCCGAAACCGACCCGAAAAAGCAGGTTCGGGTACGGGTACGGGTATAGCCATTTTACCCTATTGGGTATTGTTTCGATGGACCCACGGGTAGACGACCCAAACCGATCCGAACCGTATACCCGAGCGGGTATTTTTAGAACCGAGGATTAACCAATCCGAACCGTATAACCACCCTACTTACCCAATGAATGTTCTTTGTTTTCTTTTCCCCGATGCACCGAAAGTGTTTTGTTCATCGCTTCCACTCCCCAAAATTGATTGAAACGAAGAGTTTGTTGTTGATTTATACCTCTAAATTGCAATGCAAGTGAGTTCTGTTGCATCTGAATCTGCCTTTAGTACTAGTGGCCGAGTCTTAGAACCAAGCATGAGCTGCTTGACACACTTTATGAATAGAAGTACTAATGTGTACGGAGCAGTGGCTCAAATGTGAGATTAGACTCAGAGACAAAGGAATCACAAAGAAGGAACAAATGCTTAAGCTGGTAGAGGAGGAAGATGGTCTTATGAGAGGTATAATTTCTGGTTCCTAATCTCTTAATTGTTATTGTCATTATATCTTTAGTTTAGTTTATACTCTACTTGACCTTGTTTGCTTTCGTTTTTCAGAATTTGAACCTGTGTTTCAAGGTGCTTGAGTTTCTGCAGGGGAGAATGGTGATAGAAGAAACAACTT